TTTTAAATTAACTATGCTTATCATTTTGTAGAAAGTTGATTTCACTTTTACTTTATTCTTATAATTCCATTAAATCAATTTCTCGTCCAATATAATTTTAAAAAATTGTTTCCAAACAGAGTCACCAAAAAGATATATTTTCATCTTCTTTTTACACTTCTAAAAGTAAATTTCCCTTAAGATCATCACTTTCCCTAATTAGCAGAACGCATCTCAAAGAACACGATGAAATGGAAAAGAAACGAAGCTTACATACCCACACGTGTGAACTTCGGTGGGAAAGACTCGAAAAGCTTCCTTTTCTTCTAACCCTTGTGATCTTCACCTTGCCAGTTCCCTCCACAGTTGAACTAGAAAAGCCAAAACTACCCTCCTCTGGCTCGTTTTTCTTCAACGCGCTCCACCTGTTAGACGCGAAATTGGAATTCCACGTGTCCTTCGAGGGCCTACACGACGTCGTAAAAGACATGGCGCGTCCAACATAAGGTCCGTCAAGCACGGTTGTCGGCGACGAACCCTTGCCCTCCAACAAAACCAACCTCGGAGGCAGTTCCAAGGTTCTAGCCACGTCATCATTACCCTTGGGCCTGGATCCGCTGTGGCAGGGCCTAGGCCTCCCCGGCGCCTCCTCCCACTCAAACGGAACAGACACCGCCGTCCGTGGTGGCGGAGTAGGCAAATCCGGCAGCATGCTCCCCCGAGAAATTGTTAGTAGAGAGAGCTTGGGCGGTGTTTTTGGTTCGTCTTGGCGGAGCTTCTTTTTCTCTGAGCCCATTATTGTGAAGGTAAATGAGTGAAGTGTGGGTAGCGTGAGCGTGTAGTTTTTATAGAGCGAGTCAACAAGTGTTTGTTAGATTTGGATAGAGTGACCACAAGTGAGTTATGTGTGATTCTGACCAAGTTTTAGTAGGCTCCTATGGCGCTTCTTCACGGGAAGATACGCATTTTTATTTTTCTATATTATTATTATCGTTGGAGGTGGATCCCGCCTTGACTATTTCTAAATGCTGGAAAACCACAATCAACGGTCACTAACACGTTTAAGTCTTCGGAGTAATGGATGGGAGAAATCCTCATTGGTGAAATCCATGACTTTAAATGTTAGTTACGACATTTAAATATAATAATAAATCATGTGAGATATATTTAATATAATATTGTGTTGAACAGTTTTTATCCTAATCTTTATTAACTGTTTCAAGACCTAGAGCCGCGGTATTAAATATATTAAAAATTGAGCATGATATAGTATTTTATAATGGTTTTGACATTTAAGTTAATTTCTGATAAAAAAACGTGGATTTCTTTTTAATTTGTAAAGGTTTTTCAAAACTCTATAGCTAGAATTATCACAATCGTGTGAGTGTTTGAGAAAAGAGAAAACAAGAACTATAGAGCATAATTGTGAATGAATATCAATATAAGTGTATTAGATACAGCAGAAGCAAAGAATATATACAAAGAGAAAGAGAGAAAAAGAAAACAAAATTAACAAAATTATTCTATCACATTGTAACCGAACGATTTACGAATTTTCACCATACGGTAATCTTCAGCCGTTCGGTAGTCTTCAACCGTTCTGTTATTTAGTCGTTCAGTAGTCTTCAGTCGGTTAAGTAGTCTTCAACTCTCTACATTCGTTCAGCAAGATCCTGTTATCCACCGTTCGGTAACAACAAAAGAAGAGATCTGTGAAGATCTCTATCATCCTCCCTCAAGATAAACATGGATATTATGCATGTTTAGCTTGGAAGTAATAGTATTAAAAGGAGAAGGATAAAGAGACTTGGTGAAAACGTCCGCAACTTGATTGGTAGAAGAAACATGAAGAAGCTTGATGAGACCATCTTGAAGCTTTGGTCTAGCAATGTGGCAGTCTATATCTATATGCTTCGTTCTTTCATGAAAGGTGGGATTCTTGGCAATGTGGATAGCAGAATTGTTGTCACAATAGACTGAGTAAGGAGTCGGGCACGATATATGCAGATCTTTTAAAAGACATTGCAGCCATTGCAGTTCATAAGTTAGAGAAGCTAAGGACCTGTATTCGGCTTCAGAAGAAGATTTGGAAACGGTGGTTTGTTTCTTTGACTTGCAAGAAATAAGAGCAGTTCCAAGAAAAACACAGAAACCAGAGATGGATCTTCTAGTGGTAGCACAAGTAGCCCAATCAGAATCAAAGCATGCATGAACGCGGAAGGAATTATCAGCAGCATATAACAGACTAGAACTAGGAGCATTCTTTAAATATCTAATGATCCTCATGGCTTGTTGCATATGAGGTTAACGAGGAGTAGAAACAAACTTGCTAAGTTGTTGGACGGAAAAAGCAATGTCGGGCCGCGTATTAGTGAGATAGAGTAATCGTCCAATAAGACGCCAGTAAGAAGAAGGATCTCTAAGAGGGATACCTTCATTAGCATGAAGTTTAACAAAAGGATCGGCAGGTGTTGGAGCAGGTTTACATCCTAGCATACCAACTTCAGAAATCAATTCAAGATAGTATTTTCTCTTATTGATATATAATCCAGCTTGAGATCTAGCAATTTCGAATCCCAAAAAATATTTGAGATCTCCAAGATTTTTCATGTGAAACTTGTTGTGGAGGTGATCTTTGACAGTAGTGATTTTAGACAAGTTATTTCCAGATAGAAGGATATCATCAACATATACCACAATAATGGTGATAATAGAGGGAGTATGTTTGATAAATAAAGAGTGGTCGGGTGAACTTTGTGTATACCCAATAGAAAGTAATTCTGATGTGAGTTTGTGATTCCAATTTCTGCTGGCTTGCTTTAAACCATAAAGAGACTTTTGAAGCTTGCAAACAAGATCGGGAGTAGATGGACAAAGACCAGGGGGAGGCTTCATGTATATATCTTTAGTTAAATCACCATGGAGAAAGGCATTGTCAACATCTAACTGATGAAGAAACCATTGGTTGATAGCCACAAGAGCAAGCACAAGACGAACAGTGGTGATTTTAACACAGAGAAAAAGTTTCATAATAATCCAAGCCTTCAATTTGAGTGAAACCTCTTTCCACTAAACGAGTTTTATATATGTCAATAGAGCCATTCGGTTTACGCTTGATACGATAAACCCAACGACAACTGATGGGTTTCTTACTAGTAGGGAGATTCACCAAAGTCCATGTTTGGTTTCTTTCAAGAGCACAAAGTTCAGAATTCATAGCCTGCTGCCAACATTCAAATTTGCTGGCCTCTTTAAAGGAAGATGGTTTAACTTGTGCAGAAATATTATGACAAAAAGAAGCATGATTAGAAGAGCAATTATCGTAAGAAAGGAACAAATGCATAGGATACGGGGTAGTATGGGATGAGGGAATGCATAATGATCTAAATATTTAGGTCTACTTTTGTTTCTAAGAGAAACTCTTTGTCCAACAGTAGGAATAATAACACTATCAAAAGTATGATTAGAAGTGTTACTAGTTGGATAATTTGGGGCAGTGGAAACAGGTTCCATATGTGGAAAATAAAAAAGAATAACATCAGAAATATCATCATGTGTAGGAGACGAAGGTGAAGTTAAAGAAGTTTGATATGGAAAAATATGTTAATGAAAAATGACATTTTGTGAAACAATAGTAGAGTGTGAATGCAAATCATACAACACAAACTCTTTGGTTACAGATTTGTATCCAAGAAAAATGCATTTGTTGCTTATGGAATCAAGTTTTGTGCGACCTACAGTAACAGAGTTGGAGTATGATAACCATCCAAAAACTTTTAGATTTGAAAAATCAGGTTTGGTGGAATAAACTAGTTCATAAGGAGATTTATTTTGTAGAAAAGGGGTTGGCAGTCTATTAATAATATGAATGGCAAGCTTTATAGCATAAGACCAAAAAATGTTTGGAACTTTGAATTGAAATAGAAGAGATCGACAAACATTGAGAATGTGTTGATGCTTGCTTTCAACAATGCCATTTTGTTGAGGAGTAGCAACACAAGTAGTTTCATGAAAAATGCCTTTGGTAGAATAAAAATCATTAAGAAGAAATTATTTTCCATTGTCATATCTTATAATTTTAAGTTTAGAAGAAAACTGGTTTTCAGTTAAAAGAATGAAGTTTGGAAGTAAAGATTTGACGTCATATTTGTGTTTCAAAAGAAGAAGCCATGTGAAACGACTATAGTCATCAACAATGGTAAAAAAATATTTATATCAATCAATGGAAGTAATAGAAATGGGGCCCCAAATATCAACATGAATGAGATGAAAGAAACATGGAGATTTAGTTTTGCTAACAGAAAATTGAAGACGTTTTTGTTTAGCAAAAGCACAAGCATCACAAGCATCAATAGATTGAAAAGGAATATCAGAATATTGGAAAGCTAATGTCTGGAAAATTTTATTTGAAGGATGACCAAGTTTCATGTGCCACAAATTACCAAAATCACTAGAACTATTATGAAAAACAGAATGAAAGACATTTAATTCTGAAGTACTAATGATATTATTACTAAGGAGATAAAAGAGTCTGTGGTAGTTTTTAGCTACTCCAATCGTCTGGTAAGTATCCATCTACACAATGAGACAACTATTTTAATGAAAGATAATGAAACAATTATTTGAATGTAACAGTTTAGATATAGAAATAAGATGAACAGAGAAATTGGGAACAAATAGACTATTGTGGAAAACCAAATTTCCTAAAATAATAGTCCCTAATAATTTAGCAGTAACGAAACTGTGATTTGGTAAACGTATAGAAATAGGAGTGATAGGATGTAAAGAATTAAAAAGAAATTTTGAAGAACATATATGATCAGTAGCTCCACTATCTATAATCCAAGAAGAAAAACTAGGCGTAAAAGGAGAACCTGATGACTGTGGAGTGCACTGATTGACGATGGCCATCCTAGGAGTAGAACGTTGAGACTATTTCAACAATCCAAGAATAGCATCATATTGTTCCTTAGAAAAAAGACATTGAACTTGAGTTGTATCAACAGAGGAGTCATTGAAGGTGTGTGAAACAACATCAGTAAGATTGATAGAGGGATTGGAGGGAGCAGAATTTTGTTTGATGGTTGGTTTATAACCTTGAGGAAGGCCATATTTGATCCAACAATTGTCAAAGGTGTGATTTGTTCTTTTACAATGATCACAATATTTAGCACGACCACCAAATTTACTGGTACGTCCTCGTCCACGAGAGGGATTAAAAGTCTTGTTCTGAGGGTACTGGAAATTGAAATTAGCCATGGAATGTTGTGGAATTTGTGAGGAGGAATTATGAAATTCCCATTCTTGTTGAAGGACCAAAGAAAAAGTTTTAGGGAGAGTCGGCATAGGTCCCATTAGCATAATCTGAGAACGGACTTGGGAAAATTCATCGTTTAATCCATGAAGAAACTTGTTGACAGAATCATCGTTGCACTCTTGTTGAATATTGGCCAATAAGCCACAATTACAAGGAGAAGTGCAGGTGCAGACAAGAAGTGTCTTATACAAAGAAAGTTCTTTCCAAATTATTTGAAGACGAGTATAATACTGAGAGACAGTAGAACCACCTTGTTTACAAGAGTGAAGTTCTTCTTGGAGATCAGCGATGCGAAACTTATCACCATGAGAAAAATGTTGGAGAAGATCGTTCCAAATCTCGTACATAGAATCCATCCACATAACAGATTGTTTGATAGGTAGAGTCATGGAACGCATCAGCCATGAGATCACCATTTTGTTGCATCTCTTCTAGGCTTCATGAAGAACATCATCAGGAGGAGGACAAGAAAGAGTACCAAGAATGAATTTGTGTTTGTTCTTGGTTTCAAGAGCGACAAACATATCATGCCTTCATTGTGATAATTGGTGTCGGAGAGAGGAGGATTAACAAGAACGAGGGCTGAGTTCTTACCAGGATGAAGAAAAAGAGGGTCGGCAGGGTTAGAAAGATGATCGATGGTAGAAATTGAGGTTGCCATGAGAAAAGATCTGGAGATGAAGAAAGGGGCAAAGAAAGAACCATAATTATTGTCTTTCTTCTGATACCATGTGAGTGTTTGAGAAAAGAAAAAACAAGAACTCTAGACAGAGCATAATTGTGAATAAATATCAGTAGAAGTGTATTAGATACAATGGAAGCAAAGAATATATACAAAAAGGAAGAGGGAAAAAGAAAACAGAATTAACAAAACTATTATATAACACTATAACCGAACGCCTTCCAAGTTTCCACCGTACGACAGTCTTCAATCGTTCGGTAGTCTTCAGTCGTTCGGTTATTTAGTCGTTCGGTAGTCTTTAGCTCTCTGCAGCCGCTCGGCAAGATCCTGTTACCCACCGTTTGGTAACAACAGAAGAAGAGATCTGTGAAGATATCTATTAATTTATGAAGGTTTTTCGGAACTCCTAGAAATGAAATAGGGTCAACGAATCTAATAATAAGAACAATAATATAAAAATCCAGCAATCATAATTTCAAATTAATCTAATAAGCTTCAGAATTATCCTTATTGACATAGTAAGCTCTAATACATACTTGTCAAGCTCTAGGACCATGCAACTAAGCTCTAGGACCATGCAACTAAGCTCTAGGACCAATTGGCCAAGCTTGTTGAGCTCCATGGAAGAGTTGTAGAGCTCCCACCGCTCAATGAGAACCATGGCGCTTAACGCCATACATTCTAACGGCCTCTACCAAGTGGTTTGCAACCTTGCACTTAGCGGAAGCCATCATGCGCTCAACGCTAACTGTAACGCACTAAATTTTAGGGTGTCATGGATTATTAAAAACCGATAATATTAACTTTCTATCGTAGTGTGGAAATGAATTTTTTTTCAAAAACCTTAACATTTAAGCATGCATAATTTATTCAAAGCATATGAGTTCCAAAAGACTGTTCCAATTTCATTATTCAAAATAATGACATTAATGAAAGAAATAAAATAACTCCAATTACATTCTCTTTAAATTTAAACAAAATAACTTTTAGTAAAAATCCCAAGTCTGTTCTTTGTCATCACTCGAAGCTATCATGCCTCAACAAGATATGCAACATCATCTATTCACTTATAACACATTATAGGATTATCGTCGATAATTTCATTCACAAACACACAAACACAAACAGGTATGGGGTAAGCTACGATAAAACAATCATAATCATAATAATAAGATATAAGCACACTCATTATACCCCCATAAACAATAGTAATAAAAATGGGGTTCCTAATCCGTTAACATAACAACTCAATCATAATAAATTACTCGATTCTCGATCCACGATCCACGATCATCTATATTCGATCCTCGATCCTTGACTCTAAGCCTAGACTATTGATTTATCCATTCATTAGCACCTATGTTAACTGCACAACTAAAGTACCTAAAAAGCACAATGATATTAACGGCGATGATCATTTAATGTATTATACGTGAGCAAATGATGTGCAGATGGTGCTGAGGCTTGATAGGTTCAAGAGATAACGGGAAACAAATTTGGGATTTTAATGAAAGCTAGTTTTGTTAACTTTAAGACAATGTAGTTGTAGTTGTTTCATTACATTCATTATTTTCATTATTTTGAATAATGTAATTGGACAAGTCGTTTGGAACTCATATTCTTTGAATAAATTATGCATGTTTAAATTATGTTTTTGTGCTGTAAGGAAGTTTTAAAATTATCGATTTTTAATAACCCGTGACACCATCAAATTTGGGGCGTTACATTTGACGTATAGTCAACTTAGTTATATCAGTTACAATAATAGGCGTGACAACTTGTTATTGATAATCATATGAATCATATGGTTGTTGAGGATAGTAATCATATTTTTTATTACTTTAATATGAAAAAATATTTTTCATTTTTGAAAGAGGTTTTGTGAAAAGACATAAGTTGAAAGCTTGTTGGGTAGACTTCAAGGAAAGATAGGTATGTTTCAATGGACAACTTCCTTATCTTTCCATAGCCAAAGTATTCCCCAACTAGTTTTACAAATTTTCCAACAAAATTCCTCAAACAGAAATTATGAATTTTTTTACTAAATTAAAATAACTAAAGAAAGTAAAATAAAATAAATAATAGAAAAAAATAGAGCAAAAGAAAATGTTAGTGATAAATAAAAATAAAATTAAAATAACAAAAATAAAATAAGAACTAAAATGATAGAAATTCTAACTGCGCCAAATTGGATAACATTGTCGACGCACAATCAAATTAATACTATTAAACTATAGCAACTTCAGTATTGCAAAGATAGTAACCAAAAAAAATATATTATTGTTAAAAATAGGATTTATCATTGGTTATCTAAAGATTATNCTTTGGTAGAATAAAAATCATTAAGAAGAAATTATTTTCCATTGTCATATCTTATAATTTTAAGTTTAGAAGAAAACTGGTTTTCAGTTAAAAGAATGAAGTTTGGAAGTAAAGATTTGACGTCATATTTGTGTTTCAAAAGAAGAAGCCATGTGAAACGACTATAGTCATCAACAATGGTAAAAAAATATTTATATCAATCAATGGAAGTAATAGAAATGGGGCCCCAAATATCAACATGAATGAGATGAAAGAAACATGGAGATTTAGTTTTGCTAACAGAAAATTGAAGACGTTTTTGTTTAGCAAAAGCACAAGCATCACAAGCATCAATAGATTGAAAAGGAATATCAGAATATTGGAAAGCTAATGTCTGGAAAATTTTATTTGAAGGATGACCAAGTTTCATGTGCCACAAATTACCAAAATCACTAGAACTATTATGAAAAACAGAATGAAAGACATTTAATTCTGAAGTACTAATGATATTATTACTAAGGAGATAAAAGAATCTGTGGTAGTTTTTAGCTACTCCAATCGTCTGGTAAGTATCCATCTACACAATGAGACAACTATTTTAATGAAAGATAATGAAACAATTATTTGAATGTAACAGTTTAGATATAGAAATAAGATGAACAGAGAAATTGGGAACAAATAGACTATTGTGGAAAACCAAATTTCCTAAAATAATAGTCCCTAATAATTTAGCAGTAACGAAACTGTGATTTGGTAAACGTATAGAAATAGGAGTGATAGGATGTAAAGAATTAAAAAGAAATTTTGAAGAACATATATGATCAGTAGCTCCACTATCTATAATCCAAGAAGAAAAACTAGGCGTAAAAGGAGAACCTGATGACTGTGGAGTGCACTGATTGACGATGGCCATCCTAGGAGTAGAACGTTGAGACTATTTCAACAATCCAAGAATAGCATCATATTGTTCCTTAGAAAAAAGACATTGAACTTGAGTTGTATCAACAGAGGAGTCATTGAAGGTGTGTGAAACAACATCAGTAAGATTGATAGAGGGATTGGAGGGAGCAGAATTTTGTTTGATGATTGGTTTATAACCTTGAGGAAGGCCATATTTGATCCAACAATTGTCAAAGGTGTGATTTGTTCTTTTACAATGATCACAATATTTAGCACGACCACCAAATTTACTGGTACGTCCTCGTCCACGAGAGGGATTAAAAGTCTTGTTCTGAGGGTACTGGAAATTGAAATTAGCCATGGAATGTTGTGGAATTTGTGAGGAGGAATTATGAAATTCCCATTCTTGTTGAAGGACCAAAGAAAAAGTTTTAGGGAGAGTCGGCATAGGTCCCATTAGCATAATCTGAGAACGGACTTGGGAAAATTCATCGTTTAATCCATGAAGAAACTTGTTGACAGAATCATCGTTGCACTCTTGTTGAATATTGGCCAATAAGCCACAATTACAAGGAGAAGTGCAGGTGCAGACAAGAAGTGTCTTATACAAAGAAAGTTCTTTCCAAATTATTTGAAGACGAGTATAATACTGAGAGACAGTAGAAACACCTTGTTTACAAGAGTGAAGTTCTTCTTGGAGATCAGCGATGCGAAACTTATCACCATGAGAAAAATGTTGGAGAAGATCGTTCCAAATCTCGTACATAGAATCCATCCACATAACAGATTGTTTGATAGGTAGAGTCATGGAACGCGTNATGGACAAAGACCAGGGGGAGGCTTCATGTATATATCTTTAGTTAAATCACCATGGAGAAAGGCATTGTCAACATCTAACTGATGAAGAAACCATTGGTTGATAGCCACAAGAGCAAGCACAAGACGAACAGTGGTGATTTTAACACAGAGAAAAAGTTTCATAATAATCCAAGCCTTCAATTTGAGTGAAACCTCTTTCCACTAAACGAGATTTATATATGTCAATAGAGCCATTCGGTTTACGCTTGATACGATAAACCCAACGACAACTGATGGGTTTCTTACTAGTAGGGAGATTCACCAAAGTCCATGTTTGGTTTCTTTCAAGAGCACAAAGTTCAGAATTCATAGCCTGCTGCCAACATTCAAATTTGCTGGCCTCTTTAAAGGAAGATGGTTTAACTTGTGCAGAAATATTATGACAAAAAGAAGCATGATTAGAAGAGCAATTATCGTAAGAAAGGAAAAAATGCATAGGATACGGGGTAGTATGGGATGAGGGAATGCATAATGATCTAAATATTTAGGTCTACTTTTGTTTCTAAGAGAAACTCTTTGTCCAACAGTAGGAATAATAACACTATCAAAAGTATGATTAGAAGTGTTACTAGTTGGATAATTTGGGGCAGTGGAAACAGGTTCCATATATGGAAAATAAAAAAGAATAACATCAGAAATATCATCATG